TTCAGCTCCAGGCCCGAATGATATAAAAAAAAAAAAGGGCCCTAATATGCAAACTTGAGCGACACGAAGGTATGTTGGAGAAAAAAAAAAACATACAGCACCTGGGATTCGCTGGTCGTCACCGACCCAACTACTAGTCAAGCGATTGGTGGCTTATCTATGGGAGAGCGGACGGGATCCCGAGTTCTCCACCATCTATGGCCGTATGTGCTAACTCTTACTCAACTAGAAGCTTATGTAGTACAGAACCTCATGGTAAGCCGGCAGGATCGTACTGTGTAATAATTGTGCAGTGGTAGCTGGATGGACAGACGGTAACGAGGGTCGGAGGGAAACAGTTCTTTCTTTGGCTGTGTGACTTGGCATGCCCTGAACACTCGCCCCTACCGATGCTATATTGTCTTGCTTACTCCATGTTCACGGTCTGTAATAAGTTGAGATTAGTCTGCCGTAATTTAGCTAATGATATATACGCCCCAAGGCAGCTGGGTGCCATCTCACAGAGACACACTTGACGCACGATTATATCATGAACGAAACCAAGTCGTAAGATTTCTCCTTGTGTATTTCCACCATTGTAGGACGTCGTGTCCTACAATGATGTGCTTTGACCTTGCTTGGTATTCTCTGTCCGTCCTCTTAACGTACACCTCCTAGAAGAAAGGAAGAAAATGAAGAGAAACTGAACCCATCCATAATCAACCACCCAACCAAACCGACCATCCGCTACCCGTGACTCTGTCCGTCGCTATTGTACATCGACGGGGAGAGACCGGATACTTGAAAACGTAAAGATCGCCCATATGCCTTTTGCTTGATACGAGTTGGCTCCTTGCAAAACCATGTGCCCCAAACCGCTCTCATGTTTCTTTATGGTCAAGACTGCCGAACCCCCTCACATATTTTGCCCTCTATAACCCTAAATCAATCATGTTTCACCCCACTCCCGTTTTGGTCCAAGCCTTAGTCGATCAGATGCCCTATACCCCGAGGCTTCGACTTGGGCGAGATAGTCAGCGTAATGTCCCGCCCCGAGCCCGGTGCTCCCGACTGGCTTGAGCCGACACTAGGTGTTCGAGACCTGCTTCTCGTAGTCATGGTTGGGCGAGGAACTTTCACCGCCGTTGGCCGCAGGGACGGAAGCACTGTGGGCACGTCCTTGTCGAAATCTCGAGGCGGCGAGGACAGATCTGAAGACGTGTCTGGGTCAAAGGGAATCTGTTTCGCGTTTTCCTTCCCTGGAGCAGCCACAGCTTTTGTGGCCTTGAAGGTACGGTTGATGGCGTTCTGGGGTTTAACAACCTCCTTCTTCTTCGTCTGCCGCGGCTTGCGCTGAGGAGCAGAGCCAGGCAAGGGTTTGCGCCCAGTGGCAATCGCGGCGCTGACAGGGGTCGTCTCTTTGGAGGACGTGGTTTTGCCAAAGTTAAGAATGCTCTGCTTCGCTGTGGCCTTGGTCGTCGGTTTCCGCGCAGGAAGAGTGGCACGGGGCTTGGGGCTCGCGCTTGGTGTCGGAATCCCGCCTTGTTTCTGTGTCAACACCTTCGCAAGCAGCTTTTCGTCCTCGTCGTCTGACAAAGGTGACTTGCGCTTGCGTTGAAGGAGTACATCAACCCTGCTCTTGCTGAGCGTAGCCTCTAGCCTCTTTTCCTTCTTCTCATCCACCAGCCATGTTGTAGGATCCCCTATATCCTGCTGATCCCATCTCGGTAGATTTACCAGCTCAGCTACATCGTCGCATTTCCCCCTGATGACGTAGTCCCAGCAATCTTTGAATTCCGCTCCTTGAGGCTCTGGGTCAATGTTGATCCAGGCTGTGATACCATCCCGACGGCTCCTGGTCAGCTGACACATCTCCTTGACGAGCCTTCGAACGCCAGGAATCTTCAGAGTTGTGCCGACAACGATGACTGCGTCCGGAACCCTCTTCAAATCCGCCTTTGAAACGTTTCCGATGGCCTCCTCGTCAGGGTTGTACTCGTTGTACAACACAATTCTAGGCCGTAGCCTGCCAATGCCGTGACTCCGTTTGCCGGCAAATGTTGTCCGTACCTCATCCTGTTCCTTGCACTTTGCGCACAGAGGAGCTTCAGAGCCTTCGAAAAGCTCGGCATTGAAGGGCTCCAGGTGACTGCACTTTGTGCATACCATCTTCTCCAACCCACCGTGCAGCTGGACGGTAACTGGCCACGGACCCTTCGCGTTCAGAGGGACGTTGGTGGCTAATGGTGGCATCTGGGTATCTAGCGTATCTATATTTTGGGTGTAGAGTCGTAGTAGTCGCCCCTCCTCAGCCATGGAGGCTAGCATGTGATGAAATGGTGTAGGCTTCGCCTGTGACGTCAATTGCGCCAGTTCGCGCACCATGGTGTGGAAGGACTCAGTAGAGTCATCGTGCTTGTACACAGACGCGTCGAAAAGATGTTTTCCGGAAGCCTTCAGCTTGTGCTGACCTCGTAGCGTCGCGAAGAGACCGGTTGACGAGCGGAAATCGGGGACTAAAAAGCGCGTCAGCAAGGTCTGAGAAGAAAATGGCGCGTCATGGACTATCCAAGATGCGGAGATATTGAAGGGAAAGTGAAGGGGGGGGAGAAAAAAAGGGGGAGGAGGAGTGTGAGGGAATGACATACTCCCAGCTGAGACGGATATGCCAGCACCAGCAATGACGACAATCTTCTTCTTTCTCCGCAAAGCCGTCAATAATCTGTCGAGGTTCTCATCGGCCTCTTCCACACGATTTTCAAGATCGATCCGGTCTGTGGTACGGGGCCTTGGCGGTGCGGCGGTGCGGCGACGCTTCGTCGGAGGAGGTCCATCTGTGCGGACCTGGATCTCCTGGGCCGAATCTGAATCGGGCCCCTTCATGGGGGAAGCACTGCCAGAGGGTATCGAGCTGGAACTAGGGGAGGGATAGCGGTTCGAGGCATCGAGCAGCAAAGGCGTAGGAGGCAGAGAAGGCGACTGAGAGAGAACTGAGAGAGGAGAGGAGGGAAGAGAGCCTGACGAGGAGGAGTCGGACGGTTTCGGTCGCAAGCAGTCCATAGCTGCTGCCTTTAAAGGCGCGTGTCCCACTGCAGGTTCAATTGCTGCTACGTCTTCTCCAGCTGCCCTGCAGTATCTGAGCGTGACTAGTGTTGGGCGGACGAGGGGGTGGTGACGGAAAAAAGCGTTTGCGGTTTGTGGGTCAAAGGTTTGGTTTTCGCGATGCTATGTCATGGCTGAATCGGGAGAGGCTCTTCTTCAAGTCGATTCAGGTTGTTGTCGCGGTCGTCTCAATGGGATGGACAAAGGAGAGGCAGCTGAGTGGCTTGGTAAGTCGATGTCTTGACTTGAAAAGATGGACGAAATTGGAGAGCTTGAGTCGAGGTCCTGCAACTTGGCAAAAGGATCGATCGTATGGTGCTGAACCGTGCCCCGGAACGGTTGCTAACAATGTTAAGAATAACTTGAGAAGTTGCACTTGTGCCGGCTGCAGTGGCAGACAGACACCTTGCTTGAACAATCAAAACTCGGAGCAAGAATTCAATGGTGAGGCGCGAAGGTCGCGGTTTGCGTACAAGTAGGTACGTATCCACCTGCACACTAAAAGTCCTTGGCTGCTGTTGGTGGAGGAATGAATTGGCAGCGTTCTATGCAGACGGTAGGTCATCCGAGCGACGGGAAGAGTATTACAGATTGCGGGCAGGCTTGCATGTGCGCAAGGAGATTCTAGCGGGCAACACGATTGGACCAGTCGGATTCTGGGACAGGGAGGTTATTAACAGAGCTGGAATCCAGCCTTGGGCATTCTGAGAATGTGCAAGAGACAAAGAAGACATCAACAGCTGTTGGTTGGGGTAACGACGACTCTCACATCAGTACCATTGAAATTGAAACTGAAGAATGCTTCACCTCTTTTGTCAGGGAGGTACATAGTACATCTCCACAGAAAGCAGAGAAAACCTGGTTTATTGTCGTTGATCATGGCAGACCCTCGAGGCATGGCGCTATTAAGTAAAAGATCCGGACATGAAAGACTCAGGTCCGTCGGTACAGAAAATATACTACTGAGAACATTGGGTTTGGGCTTCCATTGCGTGTTCTCACTGAGCTCAAGAAGGATAGCAGAATGGAAAGTATCCAACCCTCGAGACCGCAATTCAGGCAAAAAGTAGCGCCCCGAGAAAACAAGGCGGCTTCCACACAACAAAGGAACGAAGAAGGCCGGGGCTTGTCACCGCGCGGTTGCCGGGAAACACAACCTATCCACGGGGCGGACCCACCTGCAGCTCCCGTCTTAGTGCCGCCCTCCCGCCCCCCCGGACCACAGATCAGGGACCGCGCTACTTACCTTAACAGCTCCAGGAGACAAGCCAAGACGCAAGCCATACGTGGCTGGAGAGGGCTTGTGCTATCTTCGGTAACGAACGGCAGGCCTTACGAGGCGTTACACCACTCTGCACGCACCATACTGTGTAAGTACAACTTCAGTTCGTTGCACACAACCTACGACGGAGTTGCAGGGGGTGGAGACACAGTGCCTACTACTGCACCCAATGTGACTGTATCGTACCGTCGCGAGCTCAGCTGTCGCGATCACCGAAACGGGGACTGGAGCTTCGTTCGGCACTCAACGACACTGTATTGCTTCTTCTGTTAACATCCAAGCTGGGCTTCGATTCCTTTGTTTCTCTCAACGGCCTCAGTTGCGCGGCCAATCTCGTGCCATTTTGAATAACTCAGTTTCACCCCGTCTTACGCAAAAAGCCCGGTTGTTTAAATAATTGGGAGATTAAAAATATCGTGTACTCACTACACACATACAACATCTATTCAGTTGGTCAGCCGTTGTCTCAGTTCCTGCACACTGCACATACAAACGCCATCCAACTCAAGTTCTCGACCAGCATCAAGTCTCTTTTCATCGGCAATCTCGAGTTTCCAAGGCTTCCGACCTGGTCAGCATTGTATCGGCACGACTAGACTACAGTATATAAACGGCAATTGGATAAGTTTTGGTGGATAATTTCTGGACGGCGCTTAGCATCCTCATCACTGCCTCCCATTCTTGGAGACGTCCCAACTCGAACGACTTGGCATCACCGGATTCGAGCTCTTAGGACCCAAAAGACGTCTTTCACTGTCGGGCATCGAATTTGACGCGAGGGTATGGTCTACGGTGACCACGGCAAGCTTGGCGAGTTAAGAGTCAAGAGACTCCCTGGGTCCATAAGCCCCCAAGCCTGGAAGGAAAGTTCACAGCAATGAGCGGCCACGACATACCCATCCAGCTCTTGGATGGGGGCTCCATCGACGTCCAACACCATGATCAGATGAACGCCATGGATACGGCCATGAACCTCGACGATGTTGATGTTGATCTCTTTGGCGATTCTGTCATGGTGGACACCGCCTTGGATGGCTTGTCTGCCCCGAGGCCGATGCCGTCCAAGCACCTACGCCAACGGCTGGATGATCTGAGAACCCATGGGTGCCACCAGGCCATCGCATGGTCACGCCAGGGTACCATTGCCTCCATCACCAAGGATGGCCGCTCGGTCGAGTTTCGCTTCCTAAGGTGCCGTCCAGAGGATGCCGGTTGGGAGTTGAGCGAACCATACCTTTATAGTCCTGCTATTATCCCTATGCATACGACGGCTGGTCCTATTGTTCATCTGGCCTGGTCCACCACCACCGAGCTCGCTGTCGTTGACGCTGTCGGCCGCATCACCATCCTCAGCCTCACCATCCACCTCAACCGCCCCTCCATAACCCGGAAGTGGGATGCCGACCCTGTCGACGACCTTCATGCGGTTGTCGGTTGTTACTGGCTCCCTTTGCTCAATCCAAGACAGTTTGGCGTCATGTACGGGCCTGCAGTATGGGTGCAGCCCGAAGATGCTAAAGCCCCCGGCGATGGGCTGTACAAGTATGAGAGCTCGTACACAAAGCCTACAGGCCCTAACCATCCTAATGCAAACAAAAGTGCCCTGGTCTCCATCACCACAAACGGTCTTCTCAGACTGATGTTTCAGAACAACAACACTCGCCTGGAGGAGACTGCCATTGAGCTAGAAAGCATCACTTCCTCGGACGATCTAATTACTCATGCCGCTCTTTGCAACGACAAGAATGCTCTCTTGATAGCCCTTGCTACAGCCTCCAAGCAATTGCGGATCGTCAAAGCCACGATCTCATGGGGAAACGACAAGCCTGCCGAGAAGCAGGCACATCCACAAAACGCAGCTATAACCGCATCTATCTCAGAGCAACATGTCGCCGTCGCACCTTTGCTCCAGCACGATTCCAACAATCCAGTGCTGGATGACTCCATGTCTCAACTGTCCCATATCGAATTTCTGCCATCTATTCCCAAAGACAAGAACCTACAGGCACATCACAACCCCGTTGTCCTCACGGTTCGCTCTCACTTGCCAGCGGAAGGCGCTTCTCTGTACGAGCAGGAACCTACTAGTGTCATTGATCGGTGGGAAGTTGTGAGCGAGCAGCCACAGACTTTGCACCCGGCCTTTGCCCAACTGAACACCGGAAACAGTATGACGAATCCCAATGTAAGACGTCTTAAACCATGACAAAATCTTAGTCTAAGCCGCTAACTTTACATATAGTCCATGACCCGCCTACGTAAACTGGACTCGGTTGTGATACCGAAAATCGTGGTTTCTGTTCAGGTCATGTATCTAGGCAAGGTGGTATGCTTTGCCTTCAGCGATGGCACCATACAGTATCGCGATAGGGTTACTATGATGGTGTTGTTCAACGAGCAAAATGTTCACCGCGTCCTCAGCCCGCATGACGTAGGGTTCCAATACGTCAACGACACGCCATGTACGCCTCTTTACTGTCCTTGAACACTCATCCACCGCCGCTAACCACTCACTCCTCTTTGACCAGGTCTCCAGGTTGCCTTCTCGCCGACTAATTGCTCTTATGTGCAAATATCCGAAGACTGGGATATAAAATGGAACAGCATGCGCTATACTTTGACAGATGCCAGTACTGCGTTACAAAGCGGTGGGTTCTAACCTTGAAAATGGTTATTGGATGTTCTTTGCTAACACCCAGTAGCCCAGCAAAGCGCCGTCATGGCAGCCCTGACTCTTGCTTTATCCTCGGCCGTCACTACCTCGATAAATTTTGATGATATCCTGGCGCTGGCCCGTCCCTTCAGCGAGAATCCACGTAAGACCATATCTGGAGTTCCTCGATTCAGACAGCCATATACTGATACGTGTAAGTAGAATTTGCGGCCTCTTGGGTCAAAGATTTAGTCAACCTGCTTAAGCTGAATTTTGACTTTTCCGACGAGGGCCATTATGACTCATTGATTCGAAGCCCTCTCTTCCAAATATCTCTTAGCATCCTCAACCACATGGGCTTCCGCGGCGAGTTCCGGCCCCGGCCATTTGAAGGAAAGCTATCTTTCCTCATACTCCAGATGCGAAACTTCATCGTTCTCGTGAGCCTTTCGCTCAACGCTCCCAAGAGCCTCGGGATCAGTCCACTGGACGAGGCAGAGGTCATCGAGGTCTTGGTTGGCTGCGTCACATGGGCGCATACTCTGATGGGGTGGATGGTTGACTGCCTCTTCGACCTCGCCGACGACCCGGCCTTCATAAGCATCTTGAATGAGCAAAAAAGGTTTCCCGATCTGGCCAACTTCCTCCGGGCCCGCGGCGATGTATCCCTGCATCTCCTCTGCTGCTCATCAGCTCGTGGCTTTATCACAGCCGCCTGCCGCAGATTAGCCCACCTCGAAGGCATGAGCAACCGTGCGATTCGCTACTGGGAAGCCAATCGTCTTAAGACCGAAAACAACGACGGTAGCGGCGGCGGCGGCGGCGGCAAAGTCCTTCCCGACAGCCTCTACTTCGCCTACCGAAAGATGCAACGCGCCACCAGCGCATCTCTGATCAAAGTCCAGGAATTTAATGAGATCCTGCAAGGTTTCGCCCAGGACGTGCGCACAGCCTACCAAGCGAGCCTCTCCCGGCGCCAATCTGGCAACAACCAACCGCAACAACAGCATGCATCCCCACAACAAAACAAAAATCAACCGCAACAGCAACAAAATGCCGAAGACCAGTTTATCAAGAAAGCACAGGCCCACTGCGAACTCGACATGCTCCTGGGCGCTAACCCCCCGCCTTGCTTCCGCGAGGTGCTCCTCAAGTTCTTCACCCAAACTTTGCCGGTGTTCAAGAGCCATGTCGACCCGGCCAAGCTGTATTTTGCCAACTATGAGGTGCTGGAGATTGAAGAGAATCCGAGGATCTTGGCGGCTAGGAAGGCTAGGCGCAAGTACATTGATGTGTTTACAAAGCGGGAGATACAATTTCCTACTTCATCAGGGGACGCCCGAGGTGGAGGCGGCATCGGCGGTGGTAGTGCTGCTGCTGCTGCTGCTGCTGCTGCTGCTGCTGGTGGTGGTGGTGGTGGTGGTGGTGAAGATGATGGTAAACGAGGAGGTACCACTGGTGCGGGTGAAGGTCAAACACCCAGCCAAAACACTCTCGCACCAGGTGGCGGGATTTCCATCAAGATCGAGCTCGGCACCGGATCCACCCCGAACCTCAAGGGGGTTTCCACCCCGGCGGGCGGCGGCGGCGGTAGCGGTGGGAACGCAAAAACAGCTGGTGGGAACAATGCCGCCGCTGTGGGTGCGAATGCCGCCAACGGAGTAGGAGGAGGAGGAGGGAACATCAACAACAATGACACTACTGAAAACACCAGCAATCAGTGGCGGAGATGTGTCCGGTGCACGGCGGTCATGGAGGATTTCCCGGGCAATCATTACAGGGCTGGGTTCACGTTTGTGATGGCGCAGCAGAGGAAGTGTGCGTGTGGTGCGTGGTGGGCGTTGGTTCCTAAAACTACGGGGGAAGGGGCTACGGAGGGATCGTGAATAGGATGCATACCCGGGCCTTTATGGTACTGTTATTGGAATCACTCGACTTGGGGTCCAATAAAGGGCGTTTCATGGTATAAGAGAAGGTGATTTGATGAGGATGGGGTTGTCAGCTGAGAAGGGATGGCTGTGAGGAATGTGAGCAGGATAAATCAGGATAGGATATGCTAGGTGTGTTTTTGTGAAGAGAATGAAAATCCATGAGTTTTTGTTCATTGTAGGCAGATATCTGTGTCTCGCATAGTCCCAGGGTCAATCATGGTACACGACGTATTCGGCTTGGGACAAGGAATAGGTATCAGGTACGCTGCCCCTGACCAGAACATGATAAGTGACTGCAGCAGGACAATTGGGCCATTTTTTTTGCTTCCATAGGAGATATAAAGATCCAGAGAACGGGGAAACGTGGGCAATGCCAGCAGTCGTTGGAAGCCCTCTGGCCATAACCGTTGTGGTGGGATCTCTCCATGCCGAGGAAGTGGTTCTTGTACGTGTACAGTACGGGGTAAGAAGCCCGGGATAAGGGGCAATTTATGGGGCGGTTGAGTGCGGGGGAGGTGATATTGTCCGCTAATATTTCCTATTTCCACACCAACCGGGTCAAGGTTTCACCAAGGCATAGTATGGCTCGGTGACAACTCAACCGCCCCCATGGGCCAAGCACAATGTTTTTGATTGGGGGTGATAGGTTTAAAGGAAGACATCTTCCCATCGGGAGGATCGTCTGTGGTGACTCAAAACGTCTCCTCTCTTCAAGCCGTTGACATTGTCAACAATCGATGTATCACGGACCAGTGCCATCCATCTTTAACTTCAACACTTCCTTCTCACTCTCAAGCGTCAAGGTTATAAAGTATCACCACCAAGATGGTCAGTGACAGCGGCCATGGCGCCGAGTATCGCCAATACCTCCCAGACCTAAACATCCCACGCTTTACAGCTATGCAAAAGCAAGATGCCCATGAATACGCAAAGGATTTCATCAAGGGAGGAAATCCTCCATGGCTACACGGCCTCTACTTGCACTGGAGAAAGCTCTTCCAAGATCCCTTCAAGGGGGTTACCAACGACGGTTAGATCACTTACCCTCTCCATCCTCACTTAACACGTCTCGTCCATTCATTTACTCACAACTTTTGCATAATAAAAATACAGGAACTGTCCGCCCCAATCTCTTTACCCTCCAAGACGAGGGCATGCCCATCGACTCCATTGTCTCCGCCACCACCAATCTCCTCTCCCTCCTCTCCCCCCAACAGCGCTCAGCAGTGACCTACCACATCGACTCGCCAGAATGGCGCACCTGGTCCAACCCCGAATTCTTGCTCAGCAACAAAGGAATCCGCCTCGATGAGGTCCATTCCTCCACCCGGGACGCCGTCCTCGCCGTGCTACACTCCACCCTCTCACCCGAAGGTTACGCCAAAGCCCTTGGCGCCATGCGTATCAACGGCTTCCTGGGGGACCTAGTCCAAGCCCCGCGTGTCTGCAACGAGTTCAGTTACAACTTTGTACTCTTCCAAACCGCCTCCGGCCCTTCCACTTCCCAGCCATGGGGCTTTTCCTTTTATGGCCACCATTTGTGTTTGAACGTGTTCCTGTACAAAACCCAAGTGGTCATCTCGCCCTGGTTCACCGGCGCAGAGCCGAACCTGATCGACGCCGGGCCATATAAGGGCACCCGTATCCTCCAGGAGGAAGAGAAGCTGGGGTTGCAACTGATGCAGAGCCTCTCGGCTGAGCAGCAGAGGCAAGCTCAGGTGTACAAGCTCCTGCGCGACCCGGCCATGCCCAAGGGGAGATGGAATCACGACGACCAGCGACATTTGTGCGGCGCGTACCGGGACAACCGCGTGGTTCCGTACGAGGGGGTTTCCGTTGCTGGCTTCACAGAAGAGCAGAAAAGGTTGGTGGAGGAAATATTGGGGCAGTACCTGCTTTATCTGCCCGCGCAAGCTAGGGAGATTCGCTTAGGCCAGATCAGGGAATGGTTCGATAAGGAGACGTATTTTTGCTGGATTGGCGAGTTTGGCGATGATGATGCGTTTTACTATCGGATTCAGAGCCCCGTGGTGATTGCTGAGTTCGATCACCATAGTGGTGTATTTTTGACGAACAAGGAGCCGGCCAAGTTTCACATTCACACGCTCTTGAGGACGCCGAATGCGGGGGATTATGGGATGGCGTTGAGGGGGCTGTTGGAGGGCGAGAAGCAGGAGTATGTTTGGGAGGGATAGTTAAGTGATGGACTGGAACCCCCGAAACCTCGAAGCCAAGTAACAAGAGATGATCAGGTCCTTAGGATAATTGGTATGACAGCTTTGGCTGTTTTGTCGTTGTGGGCAAAAGATAGGAGGGTGGGAAATGCTGGACAGGGAGAGAAGGGGGGGAGGAAGAAAGAAGCTGAGAGGATGCACCCCCCCCCCCCCCCACTACCATGTCGCACCTGCCATATGTATCGGCGATTGGCAGCTAGAGTCGCAGCTTCCTAGACAAAACTTTACACAAGAGATGGAGATTTCCACATGTGGATGCACAGTCTCTGTGTGGTCAAACGGGAGGGGATGCTCTGGGTCGAGTTCTATGCGTCCGTCTCCTCCCTATACCAGTCGGGCCAGCGCTCGAAACATGGAATGTCAACATCGACTTCGACACCGCACAAAGCCACTCTATGATGCCAATGGCTTCGGCATCGCAATTGACCTCGCCCTTCTTTAGCCAAGAAACAGCCAGTACCAACAACAGCTCACAGTCGTCATTGCTATCTTCCCAAGCCTCGCAGCCTTCGACACAACCCTCTCGGGCTTCGTCACCACTTGAGCCCGATCCGGAAGCAGATCTTGACCAGGAATATTTAGACGAAATCGACGAGCATCCGCCTGACGGATGGACCGGCTATTTGAGCGCCCAGTATCAGACCCATATCGTCGACAATCTGAAGCAGACCGTGTTCGAGAAGATCGACCAGCTCAAAGCCTCCATTACCTCCCTCCAGCAGAATCATGCCAGTCAAGAGAAAGCCAGCGCAGCATCCGTCAACGAATTCAGAGTCACACACGATCAGATTTTCAGTACCCTTCGAGACCTCAAGCCTATTCCAAGCCGGCTTTCCGCACTAGAAATCAATGTCAGGCAGAACAAGGAACAAGCAGGCTATGCCCTGTCCAATCTCGACGACAAGGTCTCGAGGCTGAAGACAGATCTGGGAGTAAAGTATGACGGAGCCATGAGGGGGTTGAAAAGCGTCCAACAACAGAACATGTCCCTCCTTGAGGCACTCGAAGTCCTGCAGGGGAAGATCGGGAATTTGCAGCAACAGCAGACGCAGACGAATGAGAGACTCTCCTCTTTCCAAAATGAAATGGAGAAGACTTTAGCACCATATCAAGGACTTTCCCATGAGGCCATGGAATTATTGAGACAGCTCCACTCTCGTCGCGCGGACCTCATGGGACTTATGGACCGGCCGACCACAGCTACGAGCGGCTCGAACGTGCCACTTATTGAAGCAGGTAGGTTGTCATATTCCTTCCGTAGCCGGCTCAATATCTGACAGTTGTAGCGCCCCAAACCCATCTGCCCTGGAGATCGCCCCAAAATACGGCCAACAAAAGCAACCCAAGCCAGCTAGTTCAGGCAGTTTCCAAGACCAGAGCAGCGCAGAAAAGAAAAGAGTTACCACCAGCACTTGATCTCACGGGTTCGGAACCCTCTGTCGAGAAGAGAGCAAACCCAAAGCGAAGGAAAATCGACTTACCTGCGGTCAGCTCGAATCAGCAACATCTTGATGACACGAACAGGCTGCCTCTCGCCACAGCTAAGAAAGCGCTTCCCGCTCGAGAGAAACGACCATCTGCCACGACTAAGCAGCCCGGCACCACGAAGCAGAAAGCCCCCGTTGCAGACATGGAAACACCTCCTGTCAGAGCAAACGTTCAAGACATGAGGTTGCTCTTCAAGAAACACAACGATGCATACAAAGCAAGACCGCCCAAAGCCGAGTGGCTCTTCATATGGAAGTTCATAAACGAGATTGAGAGTCCAGAGAAGCTGAAACATCTTCAAGAGCGCTTGTTGGAACTTTTACCATACCATATCTCGCAGAGAAGAGCGTCACATCGTCTTGGAGATAAATTTATCCAAATTTCGAGATCGCTGACCTGGGGCCGGTTTGCGAAGGCCCTTGCCGAAGTGTAGCAACAGTAAGGTGGCTCTGTGGATGGAATATACGATATTACAAAATGTGGAGGAGAGCTACCATTTCACAGCCTTGATCGTATGAGGAGTGTGCCATCTCGATGGTTTGGTAATCTGTGACATACCTCGGTCTCATATATGTGGTATGTTGCAAGTCGAGTGGATCAGTATCTGGATGCGAAGATGGTCAAAGGGCACCCGAAGGACGTACAGGGAGGCGCACTATGCCTATACTTGGGACCAACTCCATGTCATTCAATATATATATCAACAGTATGGGGCGGGGTAATGGAGTAAAGGTAGGAGTATCTAGGATCGGGCTCTAGAGAACATATAACAGAGAACAAATGGGTGTCATGTAACCGGAAGGCCAGCCGAGTTCGAACCAGATCTATCCAATATATTATTTCCTCAGCCCTCTTGCCATTTCAAATCGATGGCGAAACGAAACATATCCTTCATAATCCATTTTTCTCATCTATTCCAAATCCTAACCTGCCGGTGATTACCATTCATCGAATCAACCACCCAACACGCCTCCTTGACATGGCCCGAATTCGCTCCCATATCATCCTCGCACTTTTTCGCCAACCCCTTACACGTCGCATCCTCATCCAATACCGCACCTGCCCAATCTCCACAAAATTCCGTGTTAAAGACGATACTGTGGTGCTTGCGAATGGTACCGGAGCGAACACCCGCGGTTAAATACGGATGCGGTCAGCGGCGTTCCGAAATCTGGCGGGTCTGCTCTCGGTACAGCCGAAAAAACGCCATGCGCGGCCGTGTTAGTTGAAAGGGAAGATGAAGAAAATGTCATGTCTCTAGTGATAGTCATCGTATTCCTGGCTAATTTCGTCGCGAGACCGGATCCGCGCAGGAAAATTCCAGACTTTGATGAAGCCTATTGATCCTCCCCCCCCCTCCTCCTCCTCCATCTTTCTTTTTGTTCCCACCACCACCGCCACTCGAGTCCTTCCCAGAAACATCATAAGACCACTCAACAGCATAAGCTTTTCTACGCCCAATACAAAAAATGGGAACAATAGAAAGCCTCACGAGATGTTGAGGATGCTGGAAAAAAAGGAAACCACTGATCAGATGTGCTTATACATACTGATATGCTCGAGAGGAGGTCAATAGCGAATGTATGTATACTTCAACCGTGTACAAGCAGTCATGAACCTCTATTCTTCAACGTTTGGGGTTTGTCCATGAGTGACTGATCTACCTACTTGTATAGTGTGATGAATAGAGCCACTGACTATCTTATAGAGACACCTATAGGAGAAAACTTACACCCAAAAAACGAAGCAAGCTGTTCGTTCAGGTACCGGGAATCGATCGCTTCGTCGTTGAGCTCTGTGAAGCTGCAATGATCAGGATTGACCGCAAACGACAAGATACCGCTTGATACTCACCTTTCCCGCGAGATCTCGCGATGAACACTGGGACACAGATCCGTGAAGCATTCTTAACGGGCGGATGTTCTTTTGTACCAAAGTAAAGCGATTGCCCATAGGATTTCGAGGATCTAGGTATTCTTAGCACTCACGCACTCTCTATGTACATGCAGACCGCAGAAAACCGCACCTACCCAGCCTCCCAGCACCTTTCCCCAAGGTCAGCCACCGTGGTCTAGAATCACGGACTTCCAAGGCACCAAAGTTTACAAAGAGATGCCATGATGTTTGACATTGGTGAGAAATTTGGAAAGTTCTGGATAGTAGGCTGTCGTTCTGCTTAATCTTGTGTATTCCAAGACCTCTCGCATTTATTCTGCCCTCTGTAAGATTCCCAGGGGGCATCTATAACACTGAGGCAGCCTTAGTCAACGATGACCTCTCCGTAGTGAATGGAGCCTGTCAGACGTGCATTGTCCTTCTTGATGACCGTATTGTGTCCAATCTTCCTGTGATACCTTCCTGGCAATGCTGTCTGCAAAAGACGTACCTGCAGATGGTCAGTGTCTAAACCATGTAGGTAACACTCATCACGCAGCATTGGCAGCGGAGCTCAAACCCAAAAAGATGTCCAAATCTCGCGTCTACTTGCTTCCAGCGGTTGGTGCGCCCGATTTGACAGGGTCATGGTGTTGTCTACTCTCTTCAGACGGCTCTGTAAGTCAACTCGAGGCTCGTGGAAGGCATCGAGTAACAAACTTGCATGCCGTATCTGCGGCAGTGAAACCTGAACTGGTTCGATGCGGTGGTCGTGTCTGTCTGGTTCCTGTTCGCTGAGCCCATTCACCCATGTAAGAGACAGCAAGTGCTGTTTATAGATTGAGCCAATGCGCCTTAATATGCCTCTACAACACATCGCTGATGCTCGATCCCTTTGCCATACCTAGGAGTAACAGCTGCTGACGTAGGTTCGTTTACTTCGTACAAATGTGATGTATGTGTAGCCACAGTAAAGCCCGTAATTCTTGGCGCCAACACTTTCCCGTCACCCAGCCTGCGTGAAGATTTCGGAACAGAAACACAAGGAGGACTTGGCGTGGGACATGACAATCATTATTCGTTCCCATACATAAGTCTAAGATGAGAAGCCACACCCCATAATTCAAATTGCCCACCGGCTAGAAGGACTCAGGTGAGTGAGTCGAAGTGCAATGGGAACAGAATCGAGAAGAGAAAAGGGCCCCGCGATTTCCGATCGGGGAACCAAACATTATCATGGATATTTTCTTTTTCCAGCAATGAGATAGTGAACCTCCTTTCTCAAACATCCCTCATTTTGATGTAATAGGCGTATACAAAATTGGGGTATACAGAATTATATAAAGACAACATGGGAAGAAACTTGATTATAGACGTAGTGTCGCCATTTGTCGGCCAAACCACCTCTAGTTGCTGGCGGCGTACCGTGGAGGGCTCAACACAACTTTAACTTCGAGCGATCGAATAGAAACGTCGTGAGGATCGTGTCGTTCGCATCAGGGTTTCAAGACTGTAGGTGATGTGTTTTAGAACTTGACCTTCTTTCCGGTCAGCTTGAACCAGATCCAGCAAAGGAGGTCCTCCTTGAATCGTTCCCACAACGACCGGTTGAGGTGATAGCTCAGCTCGCGGAAGTTGTACATCTCACCCCAACAGTCTCGGCCCCATTCACATCCGGCCATGTTGACCAAGAAATCCCGATCCTTCTGGTCGTAATGTATGCGCGGATCGTTGCCCTTTTCAGAGCAGGCGCCTGTAGGGAAACTGTTGATCATGCGCTGCGGAAGGAAGGCCGTACTCTTCCGAATCCAGGGTTGCGCAGTGTAAAGCTGCTCCAAGGCATCTTGCTCCTTGTGTTCCCACTCCATGTGCTTCTGTTCGTATGCCACAGGATCCCACCAAACATCAAGTAGATGGTCGGTCCAAGTGCCGCGGCGCATGAAGAAGGAACCCAAATTGAATCCAGAGCAATCCTGCGACAGCATGAGGTGAATCGAGTTCGGGTTGCCATCTCCAATCGGGCTTTTCGAGAGTTCGTCGAGGTAAGGGTCGGCCGGGGGGTGAGAAATGTTCAGCGGATTGTACTCGTTGATGTCGCGGTAGGTGACATCCTCGATGTGGTCGAAAATATGGTCCTGCAGAGACTTCGATGGCTCCATAATGAAGGTGTTGAGGTCAAGCCACCAAACCCTGGGAGAAAATCAGCCACAGATCACATCCAGGAAGCAACAGAGTGGGAACTTACCATTCTGCCTTGGGATATTTTCGCAGAGTGGAGCGGATGAAATCAACCTTTTCCCAGCTCTCGCGCCATTCATGCGCATAGCGTTTCTTTGTGCTCATGTCGACAATCTCGAGATCGTATCCCCACTTGGCAACGTATTTCTTCTTGTTGCGAATCGAGTCCCTCTCGATTGCCCATTCCCTGGCGCCCTTCCACTCCATGACACCACCGCCAACGTTGGCAGCCAGAATGATGACAAACTTTTGACCCCCACCAAGCCATGACGTTCTTCGGTAGTAGTATACCAGAGCTTTCCAGGGTGTTAGGTCACTGTATAATCGATTCAAGGTGGGGGGTTGCAAAGACTCACGAGTGCTGTAGAAGATAATGTATCCTAGCAGGAACAAGAGGCCAAAGGCTAGCAGCATCTTGGTCCTCCTGCTCATCCTCCCCGTGATGCCTCGTATCCTGCCGAGTCGTGGCATGTTCCATCGACCGTGACCAATCTTCTCTCTCTCGGCGCCATGGGTGTTGTCGGCCTTGAATCGGGGCAGCGAACTTGATATCCGACGCATGTGGCGGCTGAAGAAGCCCTGGTTCTGTGTCGAGAAGGACTGGTATGCGGCGCCGCCCATGTTTTTTTGCCTTTCCCACATGACGGGCGTCCCGTTGGATCCGGCGTAGGCCTTGGTAGGACTCGATCGACCGCTCGGGCTGAGGTTGTTTGTAAGGCCTGGACTTGCCCAGCCACCACCGGGAACGGGAGAAGGACTGCGGGACAGCGACATTGCAGTGATCGGGGTGCCTAGAGCAGACGGAAGGACCAAGCGACAGTCAGTAACACGCGGATGACATCGGACAAGTGCCCAACGGCCAGACGGGTGAAAGTGAGACGACGGCCGTGAGACCGCTGGTGGCAGTCACGGGCGTGGGACAGGGCAAAAGGACACAACAGGGACCCCTTCAAAGCTTGGACAAAGGGAAGAACACGTACCCGGGATGGGCGAAAGGCTGTTGGGGTCGTAGTTGCCGTTATGGGGCTCAACCCCAAGGAGGAGGCCCGAAGGAGATCGGCGATTGTCCAATCGGAGTTCGCTGGGAGGGTTAACGGCAGACGACCGTCTTCGGTGATGGGAGCGGGCCGGACGGTCGCTGTAGGAGGACGATGTCCCGTTGCCGTTGGGGGAAAGGGTCGCCAGCTTTGCGGATTTGCGACTTCACCAGGTGGCACTATGGGCCCTCTGGTGATATCGCGCAGGGGTGTAGGGGGTAGCTGGGCTTCCTTGCCGTGGAGGCTCAAGGGCCCAAGCCAGAGGCTGACGGACGGACTGACAAAGTGACGGCTGAATCCACGTTGCAACGGAGGGCCGCCTGACTCGAGATACGGTACGTCGGTACGTAGCGGTTGGTGGTTACGGTGGGCTGGCTGGCCTTGGTGGCTGCGCTGCGGACGGTCGGATGGGTGTCCGTGGTAGTTAGGCTCTGCCCAAAGAAGGCAGACTGCGTGTACTGTCGAATATTGGTTGTGCTCGTGCGGTACAACCGAGAGGATCTGGTTGTCCAAGAAGGGGATGTGGACGGATGGGGATGGGACAAAGGGGACCAAGGACCCGGTGTGTCGGAGACGTCCGAGTTTCGGGTTGGGTTGCAGGGCGCGCAGGCTGCTGTTGGAGGAAGAGACCCGGCGCCTGTGGTGGCTCTGGATGGTAGACGGGTGCTGCAGAAGCGGCACCTGGACACGATATGCCA